TTCCACGTTCCTGCTGTGCCCGCACCCCCTCCGCCAGCTGTCTTTGAAATTCTTCGACATCTTTGGTGCTTTTTACATTTAAGTACCTACGACGTCGCCCTTTCGATCCGTGCCACCTTTTCGCGGTTCGGTTCATGTTTTGTTGTCACGTTGACCGAGTAGTATACAAATTGTTCTGTTTGACGTTCCTCCGGTCCGGGGATCTCGTTACCTCCTTGTTTTTCTGATACCCCTTTCCGTTTTTCCTTGCGCTCAAGTGCCCGCCCCCTCTTCTTTACATCTTCGCGAGTGCAGTTCGCGCGTTAGTATCGGTTTGTAACCATGGCCTACCAACCGCCTGGTAATAATAATGGTGCTCAGTCACCCAACTACAACGATAGCGGTCATCGACTGGAAGACCTGCCCCAAGGCGCCACTGTAAGTGCACGACCGCGATGTTGCGTGGATTCTTCTTCCGCCGCAGATGGCAGCGACACGAATTGTTCCGCATGAGCTGACACTGCGGTTCGTTCTTAGTATGAAGAGGAAGCTTCGAGAGGACTGCTTTCCAACCAACAGGGCGGACCTTTCGGTGGTCCTTTCGACGACCCTCATCATCGTGGCACCTCTCCCGTTCGGCCTACGTCGGGATACAGCTTGACGGAAACATATGCTCCGGACGCGGGTTTTCATGACCCTTACAGCACGACGGGCTCGGTGTACTCTGGCAACTCGGCAGAAAATCCCGCGGCTGCCTTTGGCGTCCCGGGTCGTGTAGCTTCTCCCTACGCTCGGAGTGAGACCTCCTCTACGGAAGCATGGCGCCAGCGCCAGGCTCCAGGAGGTACCGGCGGCGGTGGCCTCCGACGTTACGCTACCAGAAAGGTCAAGCTGGTTCAGGGTTCCGTCCTCAGTGTCGACTACCCCGTCCCCAGTGCCATCCAGAACGCCATCCAAGCCAAGTACAGGAATGACCTGGAGGGTGGCAGTGAGGAGTTTACCCACATGCGATGTGAGTTGAAATGCAGTCCATAAAAGTGTCGCATGGGAGCTAATCTGTCATCTCGCGCCATTAGACACCGCTGCCACATGTGATCCCAATGACTTTACCCTGCACAATGGTTACAATCTGCGTCCCGCTATGTATAACCGACACACCGAGCTGTTGATTGCGATTACCTACTATAACGAAGATAAGACCCTTACCGCTCGTACCTTGCACGGTGTTATGCAGAACATTCGCGACATTGTGAACCTCAAGAAGTCCGAGTTCTGGAACAAAGGTGGACCCGCCTGGCAGAAGATTGTGGTCGCTTTGGTCTTTGACGGTATTGATCCTTGTGATAAGGACACTCTGGATGTCCTCGCCACCGTCGGTATCTATCAGGACGGTGTCATGAAGCGTGACGTCGACGGCAAGGAGACCGTGGCTCATATTGTAAGCGTCATTCGGTCACGACGGACGAGCGTGAGCTAACAGGAAATAGTTCGAATACACCACCCAATTGTCTGTGACACCGAACCAGCAACTCATCCGGCCCACCGATGATGGCCCGACCACCTTGCCCCCGGTGCAGATGATGTTCTGCTTGAAGCAGAAGAACAGCAAAAAGATCAACTCACACAGATGGCTGTTCAATGCCTTCGGTCGTATTCTGAATCCGGAGGTTTGCATCCTTCTGGATGCCGGTACTAAGCCTGGCCAGAAGTCCCTCCTGGCGCTGTGGGAAGGTTTCTATAACGACAAGGATCTGGGAGGTGCTTGTGGTGAAATTCACGCAATGTTGGGTAAAGGCTGGAAGAACCTGATCAACCCCCTGGTCGCGGCCCAGAACTTCGAGTATAAGATCAGTAATATCCTCGATAAACCTCTGGAGAGTTCATTCGGTTACGTCAGTGTGTTGCCTGGTGCTTTCTCCGCCTATCGTTTCCGTGCCATCATGGGGCGACCCCTCGAGCAATATTTCCATGGTGATCACACCCTCTCCAAGCAGCTGGGTAAGAAGGGTATTGAGGGCATGAACATCTTCAAGAAGAACATGTTCTTGGCCGAAGATCGTATTCTCTGTTTCGAACTGGTCGCCAAGGCCGGCTCCAAATGGCACTTGTCCTACATCAAAGCCTCAAAGGGTGAAACTGACGTGCCGGAAGGTGTTGCTGAATTCATTTCTCAGCGTCGTCGTTGGTTGAACGGTTCTTTCGCGGCCGGTCTCTATTCGCTCATGCATTTCGGTCGAATGTACAAGAGTGGACATAACATCATCCGTATGTTCTTCTTGCACATTCAGATGTTGTACAACGTGTTCAACACTATCCTTACATGGTTTTCCCTGGCATCTTACTGGTTGACCACCACCGTCATCATGGACTTGGTCGGAACGCCAAGTGACAACAACAATCACAAAGGATTCCCCTTCGGTGCAGATGCGACCCCTATTATCAACACGATTGTCAAGTATATCTACCTCGGCTTGTTGCTCTTGCAGTTCATTCTTGCTCTCGGTAACCGTCCCAAGGGATCCCGCTTCTCGTACCTGACGTCTTTCGTCGTATTCGGTATCATTCAGATCTACGTTGTCGTCGACGCTTTGTACTTGGTTGTTCATGCATTCAGTGGCAAGGATGCGCTAGGTTTCACTACCGATCAGGGTGTCGGCGAGTTCCTCAAGTCGTTCTTCTCGTCTTCCGGTGCCGGTATCATTATTATCGCCCTGGCGGCTACTTTCGGTCTCTACTTCGTCGCTTCGTTCATGTACCTGGACCCGTGGCATATGTTCACCTCATTCCCCGCCTACATGTTCGTCCAGTCATCTTACATTAACGTTCTCAACGTGTATGCATTCAGCAACTGGCACGATGTCTCGTGGGGTACCAAGGGTTCTGATAAGGCCGATGCGCTCCCGTCTGCAACGACTACGAAGGAGGATGGCGGCAAGGACGCCGTCATCGAGGAAATCGACAAGCCCCAGGCGGATATTGACAGCCAATTTGAAGCCACTGTCAAGCGCGCTCTCACCCCCTACGTCCCCCCTGTGGAGAAGGATGAGAAGTCCTTGGATGATTCCTACAAGAGTTTCCGTACCCGTCTCGTGACGTTGTGGATCTTCAGTAATGCCTTCTTGGCGGTATGCATTACCAGTGACGGTATGGACAAGTTTGGATTCACGGTACGTCTAGTGATTGATTAATTCCCCTTTGGCCGAACGAACGGACTAACGTCTTTCCTTTTCTCCCTACAGAACACCGCTACCGAGCGTACGTCCCGTTTCTTCCAGGCTCTCCTGTGGTCGAACGCTGCTGTCGCACTTGTCCGTTTCATCGGTGCCTGTTGGTTCCTGGGTAAGACGGGTCTCATGTGCTGCTTCGCTCGTCGGTAGAATAGAGGCACGAAATGTAATGAAAACTGGGTGTCTTGTTCCCCTATGTGGATTGCAGGGGCTGGAGGAGTTATTCTTTGGCACATTTTTGTCGCAATTTTGTATTCTACATACGATCCGTTCTTTGTGTGTTTCGATTACTTTGAGCTGTTTTCGTTTCGCTATCATGGCTTGGTTTAAGCGGTCGAGATGGCCGCAGGTACTTGTGTTTTCTATAAAGTCTTAGCGGTTTAGAATCAATAGGGGGTGCATTGATGGCGCAACTTCACAAAAATCCAATGATAGACCTGAGGCTCTTAAGGCTCCCAAAGTTTTACCTAGAATCGGTTAGTTCCGTTATCCGAGGGCTTGGCGCATGGCGTCAGTTCATTAAATCAACTTGTCGCTTCTCCGCCTTCGTGACTTTGCGCCTCATGGTGGATGTGGATTGTCACTCATTGTTGAGTCTGGTCCCCTTGTCGTCTCCGAGGACCCTATTGATACCATTTTCTCCTCTCACTGAGATATTTCTGTCCTGATACCCTCCTCAAACGACCCTGACCCACAAGTCTGTGGTGGCGGAATCAATATGTTGAAGATATGGTCGATGGTCCGTTTATGACTCCAACGAAAGGCACCCTTGATCTTGGACTCCCAATAAACTAACCAGAACCGCCCACAGAAACAACAACAGCAGCAAGCTGAAAATGCCGAAGGCGCCTCCGGCAAGAAGAAAAAGAAGGTCACCGCCGCCCAGCTGCGCGTACAGCGGGGTACGTAGAAAAACCCAACCCCCCCGCCACCATACAACCCAGCGACGACAACAGGACCTAGACTAACAAGAAGAATCATGAAACATGGAAAACAGACCTTCAAGAACTCACCCTCGGAAGCACGATGAAAATGTCCTTTCCCAACCCCGACGATATCTTGAACTTCACCCTCACTATCGAACCCGACGAGGGCATGTATAAAGGCGGCGCGTTCCATTTCAGTTTCAACGTGAACCAGAATTTCCCCCATGATCCGCCCAAGGTTAAGTGTACGCAGAAGATTTATCATCCGAATATTGATCTCGAGGGAAATGTTTGTTTGAATATTCTTAGGGAGGATTGGAAGCCGGTGCTGAATTTGAATGCTGTTATTGTGGGCATGCAGGTTTGTTCTTTTCCCCCTTTCCTTTCCTTTTACCTTTTTTGGGAGTTTGGTTTGATGGCGGTGGTTTGGGCCTGGTGATCTGGTGTGTGTTTGTGTGTTTGTGTGCTAACTTTGTCTCGGTAGTTCCTCTTTCTCGAGCCGAACGCTTCCGATCCCCTGAATAAGGAAGCGGCTGATGATCTCCGCCAGAACCGGGAGGCGTTCAAACGGAACGTCCGGACATCGATGACGGGAGGCTCCGTCCGAAACGTGCAGTACGAGCGCGTGATGAAATGAGAGCCGGATCGCGCATGAGTGGGATAGATCGATCGATCGATGGCGGCTTAAGCATCAGTAGCCCTACGGGACTAGGGTCTGGTGTATCAACTCGGATGTCACAATGATTGATATGTTCGGGTCTGCATTCGGGAATATGCATATGAGATTGGAGGTGCTCGAGCTTTTTCTTGAGACCTTTGCATTACATTATACTATGGGATTAATTAGCGACTGGATAGATTCTTACGAAAGAAATGACTTGATTGGTTTTCCTGTCTGTAGTAACCCACAGTATGGGTAGTGCTACTTAACCTACTGATCTGGCTCTGGGGTAGATAGATACTACTACCTAGTAGCACTATACACCCAGCACACGCGCATACACAAGTACCAAAATCTACAAACTTACCACCGGACACAAAACCAGTATATATACAACCCTATTCAAACAACTAACCCATAGTAACTGCAAGCCTCAAATCAAATACTTCACATTCAATTCAACCTCACTGACTCACTCCCATAACATGTCCCCAACCCAACCAATGAGCCAACAACACCAGTCTCATTCCTTCTAGACATCTATAACGAGAAACGGACCGAAACGAAACAAAGCATCATCGGCTTATCCTTGACAAATCCAGTCGAGCGAGGTTCATGCATGGGTCATGATTCGAAAATTTACTCCTGGGCAGCGGCGCGCTCCTGCTCCAGACGAACGTAGTAGTTGTCACGGGCGCGGACGCGGGGGAGGTGGTAGCCTTTTTCTCTTCGTTAGTTTGGGGATCCCTTTGAGGATTGAGTTGGTGGATCAAGGATGATACGTACCGTACCACCAGAGGTAGCCGAAGGTAGTACCGAAACCTGGAAATATAGACATTAGTTATCCGTATTCTCTCGACATTATTGTTCGGGTCAGATTGCGCATTGCCGGAGGTAGTTGGATCTGAATTCGAGGTTCCCGTAGACCGGGTGACGTTCTGATTCATATTGCATTGTCCGACACGGGGAATCATGGCTTACCGAAAGCGGTGCTCAGGTCAAGGACGAGGTTCCGGCGGAGCATCTGTTGTATTTCTGTTAGTTTCTTGGTCACCTTTAAGGTGGGAAGTCTGGGGTAGGTCGAGGAGAAAGGTTGAAGGGTGCAAGGAACGTACGCCGGTGATGGGGGCGACAGCGGCCATTGTGAGGGATTGATGGTCTGAGGTGATTTAGAGTGCGGAGGTGTAGCGATTCAGCAGATATCGGCAACTGCTGGAGTGCGTGGTGGTGGGGAGCTGGAGGAGGGGAGAGGGAAGGATTGGTGGTGATGTGATGTTGAAAGTCGAGGTTGAAGCTTTCCGTTCCGGGCGTAAGCGACCGCTTTGAGTGGCCTGACTGGTTGGTTGCCGTCCGGGTGTTTCCTTGTCGTTTACTACTTCGTTTTTTTCATTTTATTTATTTATTTATTTTTTTATATGGGTGGAGAAACTTTTGGGGATTGGGGTATGGGGATTTAAGTGAGGTACTCTAGTTTACTACGATTTATCTATTTTTTCTCTTATTATTTAGAGCTGAAATGAATTGGACCTCATGGTCGCGTTACTCTGTTCCTGCCTCAGGCATAATGGATGCCACGTGACCCTCCATCAGACTTGCTGTTTGTCTCCGTCACTTCGGCACTTCTCCACGACATCAACATTAATCCGCCATGCTCGCCGCCGAGCCCAAGATCAAACGTTCCTCCTCATCGCTGCCGGAGCAGCTGAATGCCCCTGATGCCAAGCGTATAAAGCGCCCTTATCACCATCACCATCGCTTGCAAACGCCCGTGAATCCTGCGCTTCCAGAACCCGCCATCAACGATGATGCCTACGTCGACCACTTAATGAACCGCTCCATCGGGCAGACCTTACGAGAAACAGGATTTGATCTAGCCGATCCAGCAGCGCTGGAGAGTTTCCGCATTGCGACCGAAGAGTGTATGCTTCTTTAAGGTGTAACTGAAGGTGTTGTGAGGGAAGATATTGACCAGGCCTGTGCTTCTTAGATCTGCTGAAATTCGCGTCATATGTGCGCCAGTCGATGCTCTCGTCTCGTCGCATCCAACCCGTCCCCCATGATTTCGAACATGCGTTGAAGAAACACCGTGTGCGCGTGGACGATCTCCTGCCCCATGTGAAAACTCTACCGAATGTCGACCCTGTCCCCACGCTCTTGCCGAGCCCTCCGCCGGAAGAAGATGACTGCTTTAAGACTTTGCCGTCCCTGGGCCCGCAACTAAGTGGCGAAGACGACCGTGCGAGAAGCGCATACATCCCGAAGCATTTCCCCGAATTCCCTAGTAAACACACCTACCGACATACCCCCGTATTCACGGAGCGTGTACAAGACCCGCGGAAGATCCGGGAGCGCGCAACGGAGGATGGGCGGCATGGCGAGGAGGCCTTGCGCAAGCTTGCACGCGCAGCGTTTAAGGATAATCAGCTTGGTTCGTCGGGCCGGGATAAGAAGCCGTGGGGTCGGAGGACAGAGACGATGGATAGTATGTTTGAGAAGACGATTAAAGGTATTGCGAAGAAGATGCAGAAGAACACAACGGCTCCGGGTACTGCCACTCCCATGGAGATGGACTCTGGCGCGGTCGACTCGGATGTGAAGGCTCGGAACAGGGTGTCGCTGAGCATAGAATTGCCGCCCATCATCAACTGCGAGAGAGATCTCTGGCGTCGGACGACGACTGGGAATCGAAGGCCCGAGGAGAGGCCGCCGGGCAACAAAGAAGCTCCGGATATCTCGCGAGTGGATAGCTGGGTGAGCACATGAGCGATGGGACGAGGACAAATAAATCGGAATGGCGTCGGGCGTTTGACTTTTGTTTTATAGCCGTATTCGAGAAGATACCCATGCAGCAGAATTTAATATAAACATTGAGCATTATAAGCAGAGATCAGCCTGTCAGCGAGAACCAGGAGAACGAACGCCAATCAACACCGTAGCTATGCATGTAAGATAGACGACCCTCCTTCATTTGCTGTCCACTTTCGAGTTGCTCTCTGCAGCCTTGCGCTTCGCTTCTTCCTCCAATCTGATCGGCTCCCACGATGTCGTTTCCACTGTCAGCCCATTGGCACACCTAAGACTACCGTCAGCGACCGCATAACCGAAAACAAGGCGCGCCAGGCATACCGTCTGAACAACCGCACGACGGGCTTGCAGACCACCACTCCCGGCGCAGGGATCCCATCCTGCGGCGGATTACACGAGTACTGCACCATTTCCATGAGTTTGCATTTCTCCAGCTCGACGGGACCGCCCTTGCGACGTCGCTCTTGGAAGTTTTTGCGCACGATACTGACATGGTCGGGAAGGGCCTCGGCGGAGAAGATCGGGACAAGGGGAGCCATTGTTGAATTTCTTCGTATTTATATGACGACCAAGTGGATAATTGATTGGATTTGGTTGAGGAGGAGAATTGTGGCTCGTGGCTTTGAGGCGTTGGAGTGTAGTTAATTCGAGTTAATTCGGGGGTGGATTTGCGACGTTGAATTCATTTATCATGGGCGGGAACGAGCCGGATCCGATGCCGATGGGTTGCATATCGTTCATCTTCCATCTTCAATTTGTATCACTCTTTTTCTCAGTGGGTTGTGGGTGATACACTCACCACCAACTTATATTGATTATATCATACGTAATTCAATTGTTAGCCTGCTGAGATTAAATTGTTGGTGTTTTAATATGCCACAGCATTCATGATTGTCCCGAACGGCCGTGACAATGGCCGCGAGCTTTGGGGAGAAATTGCTGGCGGAGGTGTATGAGGAGAGTTTAGAGGAGGTCCGTATATTTCGTTTTACTTATCTGGCATGGTGTATGCAGTTCAAGGCCTTGGCTTGTTGTTAAACCGGCTGTTATGTGTTGAATGACTCGATGCTAATACCATGACAGCTCCTGCATGACTTGAGTTGCCTCTATGAGAGCAGCGAGAACACCCCGAGACAGCGTCTCGGAATCCAAGCACTTGATGACCTGCTGAGAGTCTTTATGCCGCTTCCTGCTGTTACTGCATGGGCACAAGCACAGCACCAGCCTCCAGAACCGACCATTGCTACTGGCCAAGACGAGCAAGAGCAAGTCTATCACGAAGGACCACCTATCCAATCAAACCCGGAACATGACCTAAACACCTATCCCAGAGAGCAGATCTTCCCACCGGCCCGTATTAGAAGTACGGAGCCAGTCGTGGAGATTTCGAGCACGTCTTCCGGCGCCGGCAAAACTCAGACCCTGTATTACTTGACTGCCATCGCGATCTTACCGTTTGAGTTTCACGGAGTCAAGCTCGGCCGGGAATCTGTAGTAGTCTTTATCGACACGGATGGCCGCTTTGACGCTGAGAGACTTGTGACTGTGGCTCGAGGAATTGTGCACAAGAAATTCAAGACTCAGAATGAGAACGCAGAGTCGACGACTACAGAAAGTGTGCCTTTGTATACTGAGGAAGACCTCGACAGCCTGCTGGTGACCTCCCTGCAACATGTCCACGTCTTCCGCCCTCAGTCCTCTGCGGCTCTTCTATCAACTCTCCAGTCAATGGATACCTATCTCCTCGACTTGACGCGACATTTCTCATCCGCCCGCCCGCTCCACACCATCATCATCGACAGCGCAAGTGCCTTTTTCTGGCAGGACAAACTACACGACGAAGTCGCCCGCACAGAGGACATCGGACGCCCCTACGAAGAGATCGAGAGCGAACGGCGCGAGAAAAAAAGCTTTTATCTGTTCGACATGTATGCGGATCTCGTCGCGGAATTGAAACGGCTACAGCAACTGTTTAGCTGTGCCGTCGTTTACACCACCATTGCATGGAGTGGGAGATCCATGCCTGGTCAATTGTCTACATCTGGGCCTTCTGGACCCTTTCCTTTGTTTGATCCCTCGGATGTCCCTGTCTCGCAGACTCCGTCGTTCCGGCCTTCACTTCCGGGGCCCTGGGGAGTGTTTTCGACTTTACGACTCGTTGTTCACCGGGATGTGGTTAGGCCTTTCCAGCCTGCGATGACGGTTCATGAGGCGCAGCGAGAAGCTCCGTTGCGGCAGGAGGTTGTCTTGAAGGGGCGATTTGTCGGATGGGTGAACGGTTGGGGCCGGGAAGACTGGCCTAGGAGAGTGGTGGAGGGATTGGACGAGAAGGATGGAGGAATGTTTGGGTTCTCTGTAGGGACGGACGGAGTGGACTTCAACTGATGTTTATGTGCTGTCTATCCGGCATGGTATCTCAGGTATGATATGTGCACAGGAGACATGTTCTATACAACGAAACGTCTATACGCACCATCTGTGTCCTGGATCAACTAAACAACTTCCCAATTGCCTCAACAGTGGTATTTCCTCCACTGAACACGATGCCAATATCCCAACCCTCTTCACCACCCTCCTTCTCCACGATCCTCCGAAACTCCTCATTAAACAAACAAACTGCCAAACCCACCACCGCACTCGGCTCAACTACCACCTTCATTCTCTCCAAGACTAGCCTCATCGCCGCCTTAATCTGCTCCTCCGTTACCGCAAATACGCCCTCCACCTTCTTCTTATCCGAAATAACCTCCCAGTTCAACAAGCCCACAGGAGTCCTCAACCCATCACCAATAGTCAACGACTTCACACTCGTCACCCGCTCCCCGGCCTCCAACCCCCGTCGACAATCATCCGCGCCCTCAAAACTCGGCTCCGCTCCAAAAACCTTCGTCTTCTTATCCGAAAAGAACGTCGCCACACCGGCATTCAAACCCCCACCACCGATAGGCGTAATCACCGCATCCAAACCCGACCCAGACGAACCATGGGCACTCAGCTGGGGGTTCTGCGCCAGAAGGTCCAGGTACTGCTCTTCGATTTCGAGACCTGTCGTGCCCTGGCCACAGATAATGTTGAAGTCGTCGTAGGGCGGAACTAGGATGGCGCCGGTTTGGCTCTGGACTTCGGCGACAACGGCTTCGCGCTCGGTGCTTGTTGACCCGCTGAAAACGACTTTCGTGGCGTAGGCTTTCGTGCCTTCGATTTTGGAGGTGGTGCTGATGCTGGGCATGACGATGTAGGAGGGGATGTTGAGCGTGGTGGATGCTAGGGCTAGGGCTTGGGCGTGGTTTCCTGGTTCCTTGTTAATTTACCTTCTTTACCTTCAACTGGTGAATTAAACACAATAACCCATATAGCCAATGAATACATGGACCCAAGAATAATCAAATAAGAAAAAAGCGAAAAGGGAAGAGAGAATAAGCGAATAAGAGAAATAGAAAGGAATACCAGAACTGTGCGTGACAACCCCCCTCCTTCTAACCTCCTCCTCACCCCTCTCCTCAATCAACCTCAGCAGAGCATGAAACGCTCCCCGGGCCTTAAACGCGCCAATGCGCTGCAGATTCTCGCATTTGAAGAAGAAACGGATGGTCGGGTTCGCAGGTGTCTGCCCCTCGTAGGGCGTTCCCTTCAACGCATCTGGGGTTTGGGGCGTGGAGGCTATTCCGTTGAGGGTTTTGTTGGTTAGTAGTGGCGTGCGGTGGATGTAGGGTTTGATGAGGGTGTGGGCGGCATGCACTTTGGATGGGGTTAAGGATTGGGCGAGGGATTGAGGGTCCATTTTTGCCTTTTCAGTTGTGATCTTCTGGGGTTTTGGTGTGGAGGAAGGAGGGTTTAATAGGGTGGGTATGAGTCTATTCATTAAAATATATGTGGTGGGGTTGAAGGTTGTGGAGTAAGAATTGAGGGGAGAGAGAGCTTACTACTTATCGGTTGATTGATAAGGCGGAGGTTATTACCGGAGCTTCTTTCTATGGGTATGAGTATGAGGATTGGCATATAGTACGGCGGTGCAGCACAGCACTGTGGCCCAGTCCTTCTCTTACTTTATGATATGATGAGAAGATGAAGCTGAGTGCAATCAAGAGTCGTTCCATTCTTTTATGTCTTGAGGCTGTGCACGCCTCAATCTTGGAGCCTGGACGGGCTGGAAAAAAGTAAATATGTGCCCAAGGCTTAGACTAAGGGTATATTAGTCGCGATCGCTTCTTTTTCTCGTTACAGGTTAACGTTATGCTCTACTTGGTATCTCAGAGAAACCATCGGTCACAGTTTCCATATCGATGCTGCAGAGCTTACTCTACTTCCCTCTTTCATCACATGGATTTGTTACTTTTGTCTCGAAAATGGAACAGTCAGAAAAGCTCCTCTCGAATGAGATCCGACTGTTGAACCTCCTGCCTGGCAAGTGGTCCGACCCGATTCACTGTACATGGCGCATCGTCTCGCTCAATGCCAAGAGGTGGTTGTTTATCTGGGTGATGCCTTCACTCCGAGCTTTTCCCAATCCTTTAACACCCCTTCAGGGACGAGGGAGGCTATATCACATACAATGACGCCTCACGAATGCTACTCTACGCCAGCTTTCAATGAGATAGATACCGGCCCTGTCTGGCGAAGGCCCCTGAGTCATCGGGATGGGAGCTATCTTTTCTGTTTTATCCAACTTCTAGCTGACGGAGTTGACATGGACAGGTTTCCGGCGGGCAAAAATCAAGGCGGCTTAGACGAAGTTACAGAAGCGTTAAGGCTATTTCTTTCCGCAGTCGCATGGTGGAAGAGGGTCTGGGTTATCCAAGAGGTGGTCATCACCAGCAGAATTATGATATTGTATGGCTCTATGCTTGCTCCGTGGGAGATGTTCGTTAAGGCCGCGAACCGCGTGCATAACAATCCTCAGATGGAGATTCCCTCACTCGCGGTAAACGACACGAAAGTCCTGGCGGAATTTTCACGGCGAATCCTCAGCATCGAGTCCATCCGAACCCGATGGCAGAGTCCTGAGCAGATAACATTGTTACAGCTCTTGCGCCAATTCAGTGGCAGAGCGGCCACAGACCCCAGAGATAAGGTCTATGCTTTGCTTGGTCTTGCAAAGGACAGGCCTTCTGTTGAGCCTAATTACGCGGCTTCAGAGCTGGATGTTTTCATTGACACTACTCTCGATATTATATCTAGAACAGGGAGCCTCGATGTATTGATGGGCGATTTCACAATGAAGAGTACTCACGCACTTCCCTCGTGGGTACCCGATTGGAGCTCACCCCTTGAGGCATCCATACAGAGCCGGGTAGAGAGTGTGAAACATTACACTGCATGCAAGAACTCTACAATCAATGTGCAACTGGAGGCATCGAATGAACTGTCGAGTGCATATAAGAAGAGTTATATAAGCCGAACGAAGTACGTTGGAGTAATTGAGAAGCACTACAGGTCTGAAGCAGGACCAATGTGCTTACGACTGCCTCAGCAAGGACATATATCTCCGCCGGCCTTGATCATCGAACCGATTATGGCCGTCGGAGAAACGATGTGGTCTGATGTAGTGCTAGTTTCGACAATTAGCTCATGGCTGGCGATAATCGCTGAATACTCGTTCCTTCTCGAGAAGATGATACCCCATGAAGACTTTCGAGAGCACCATGTGCTCTGACCTCGTGTTTGATGCAGTAACTGGCCAGTCTCGACGGCTATCTTCACTAGACAGAAATCTTATAGGATATTGGTTGGCGAGAGAAGTACCTGACTATACAGATGAATGCTTGTTACGGCCCTATCGACTTATGGAAGATACCGCGGATTTTGGTGCTCAAAACTTGAACTCAACTAGCATTCACCGTTCTGTTATACAAGCAACATACCGTCGAAGGTTCTTCATTACAGCACACGGTAGAATCGGTCTGGGCCCTGCCAGCATGAAGAAGGGCGACCGTGTCTTCATGCTCCTGGGAGGTAGAACACCATTTATCCTTCGGGGCCGTCACCATGATAAACCTTTCTCTAAAGATTGGTACGCGCGACCCGGCGCCCGCGAACCCTATGTGCAATCCCCAACCGCATACGAGCTTCTTGGAGACTGCTATGTTCATGAACGTATGGATGGGGAAGGCATCAATATTTGGGAAGATGTTGGTTCGAACCACCCCAGGCCTATTCATCGAGATCTTGGGGAAGCTGGGCATAGTACCTGGTAGCTCACACATCGGATCCATAGGTCATGAGGAAAAGTGTTTCGATATAAAAGAGGCCGGTACCCGGTGGCAGAAACAGGTTAGCAATTGGTATCAATCGGCAGAAGCATGGCAAGACGCGTACTCGGCGTTCTAGCATCAACTGGACGAGTCGGAGAGTTTTGCTTCGCGGCGACCATGCACGTAGATGGCAAATTGCCAAGCAAGACTATGACATTCTAGCATGGAAAAGTGCTAAAACGTGGTCGCAACACTCCCTGCAAGCTTGCGAGAAGGAAATCCGACATTGGCTTGAAGAACGGGAATTGGCAGCACAGAAGCTCAAGGAGGAAGGCCTTGATAACCGCAAAGAAGCGGTTGAAGCTGCAGAAAATGCCTCACTGACTACGTATCCCTCTGAGGAATGCCGGACGCGTCTAAAGTATTCGATTGCAGAAGTGGGACGAGAGAAATTTGCGATGGAAAATTCAAATCTATAGGTTAGGCGTGGAAGCCTTGATTATCGTGCTGGTCTGATAGGGGTTGCTCTGTTTCTTTACGGTTGATATGTTGCAGGGGATCTCTCTCCCTTATGAATGTATCGTGCCTTACCACTTCCACCTCGACGAAAAGGGTAGTATGGAAGCTCATTGAGACATATCATATAGTATTAGAAAGTTGTTCATGAAGTTGGGGCATCTATAATGTGCTTTTCTCCCCATATCTCCTGCCCTAACTCCTGCGCTGAAAGGCGCACGGTCCAAAAGAACGATATTTCTGGCACCAGTGCTCCCACAATTCCGCAATGCCGAGTCCCAACACGATGGGGCTCGATCAGACCCCTTGGGTGGAATATTATTGTGGGGATAATGATGCGCCAAGAGGCCCCGGTGCTTTGGGGTTCACCTCCACAATAAGTCAATACGAGGTTTAGATTGTTGATCTGCATCTGAAGCCCTCGGCTGTCGTGAGACCCGAACGGGAATTTCTGCCCTGACTCCACTCTTCACCTATAATCTCTTCAACATCCCTTCTGCGGCACCCTGAGACCTTATAACTTGCATTCAAGGTCATCCGGTGGTGACCGGTCCAGCTTACACCCTCACGCTGTGGCAAAAGATGGATGACTACTACTCCAGCCCGCCTGCTGGTTTCACTCTTCGGAGAAACGGCACCTGCACCGCGAATGAGAAAAATTGTGGCAACCCCTGGGGTGATTGGCATGATTGCTGCCCCGAGGGCACGTATTGCCAATCGGAAAGGAGTGATAATGATAGAAATGTCTGTTGTCGAACCAAGTCAGGTTGCAAATCATTAATCGAACAAGATCCGCACTGCGCCAACAATCAGACTTGGGACTTGTATAACAATGATGGCGATTACTTTTGCTGTCTGCAGGGGAAGCGGGGCGTTGTGCAAACCTTCAGCGAAGGTGGAGCAGGTATTGCCTGTGCAGATCCGGGGAGCGGGGAACTCGATAATCCTTCGCAGAGTCTACTTAATCTCATTGCAAGTGGTGAGTTCCAGCTTGAACTAGAACAAGCTGAAAAGGCATGACGAGCTAACACCGCATATCACTGGTTAACCAAAGGCACGCCATCCGCATCCGCATCAACATCAGTAACACCATCTACGTCTGCTGTACCAACCGAAACAAACACAGATACCCCGGCCGCAACAGAATCCAAGCCCGACACATCATCTAACAATGCCGGTGCTATTGCTGGTGGTGTTGTTGGTGGTTGTGCTGCCGTTGCACTTATAATCGCGTTGGTTTGGCTTCTACTCCGCCGACGACGACGACAGAAACAGGCCACTCCTATCATAAACCCCAATGCTGGTATACCGGCTACAGAGCACAAAGGTGTATCAGTAGCGGAGCTTGATAATACTCCGGTTCGCTCTGAGCTATCTGCCGATCCTAATACAATGGCCCATGAGCTGCCTGTCAATCTGCGTTAATAGGAGCAGTCGCGGTGACTGTATATGTATTTTGTTACATACAACCTCAATAACTTGAAAGCAGGAGGATGATCAAAGGCATTTCGGCTGTGATACCCTGTGATATTCGGTTTTCTTTTCTTGATACCCCCTGGTGCGGAATATTACTGTCCAGCCTAATGTGACTTTGTTCTTGTACATAACTTTTATTGCGGTCAGCAGCTTTGCATTTAACTCTGGCTCTTGTGATTGCCTTTGTGCTTCATATATTTACAGTCTAAATCTACTACCAATGTATAAATTCAAGATATATTCTTTTCTTTTTATATTATGTAGTTTTGGATAATGTTTATATTGAATGACTGGTCCATATACGTTAGAATAATTGAGTAAGTCCGTTATATCATTACGGATTAGAGTAACAGGCAGTCTAGGAAGTGTATTGATAGACGTTATTGTTAGGGTATGGGTTAGAAGCAGTGTGACGACCTATCTCTGCATAGTATACATTCCATTACTAGTATGAAAGACATTATCTAACATCTCATATAAACTTAATCCTTACCCCTACCGCGTAAAGTCTCATTAATATCAAATTTATGAACCGAAGGAGTCTTTGCCATGGATGGCCTGACACGCAGCAGCCATGGCAAACCTAGTTGCCAGGTACTCAAAGAGGCACCTTAGTTCCATGCTTCTGTGTCCACCAAGGCGAGCGATCCGAGACAGGATTAGCAGGCACTTTGACGGTCATCTTTCGCGGAGGGGACTTTCTACTCCGGCGAGCTCTTGTAGTCATCCGCTTCTTCAGATCGAGTTGTCCGTTGACACACTCCTTGCTACCCCATGCCGCATCGGCAGCAGCCTCCCACATCGCAGTAACATCTACAATCATCTCCGGTTCGTAGAAGAGGCGACAATCGGCCTTCTCGTACACAAACTGCGAGGGAAGCCCGTTCTCCAGGTTCTCCGGGAGGATATTGTCCCGTACGTTGATGGAGGTATCCGTCGAGCGGTTCGTGGGTAGGTCGCTCAGTTCCGTGAGCGCGGTCCAGTTAGCCTTGTGTTCCTGACCAGGTTTAGCTGAACCGATGGCCAGCTGGGCGAGAGAGTAAATGTAGGAGAAGGCGAAATTGTTGGACCCCTTGATACCGCCGATCCCCTGCATCGGGTCTGAGGACGGACGACCGCCGATAGCAATGCTCTTGACGCCGCCCTGGAGACGCATGAATTCGGAGAAGAGCGTGCAAGTCGATGCGCAGTAACCGTCATACAGCATGACGATGTCCTCGGCGGCAAAGGGCTGCGTGAAGTTCCGACGCGTGCCGTACCCCGTAATCTCCATGCCCATGCCATATGTCTCGTTGACAGTGGTTAGCGGGTCGTCCAGATCCCAGCGGATGATGCTTGTGTACTGGTCGCCGTTGTACTCGTGGGGACCGAACTTCTCCTCGAGAGAGGTGAAGTGCTTGCTTTGGAGGTTTAGGTCGTAGCGGTAGTTTGGTGGTGATTCGAACATTTGGATTTCGTTGAAGGTTGCGGTGTCGGGGTTGAAGTCTTCTGGGAGGACGGCGGAGAATTGCTCGGCCAAGGCGGCGAGGGCTTCGGTGTAGCGGAAGCGTGTGTACCCGTCTTGCACGATGCTGGGGAATAGCTGGCGGAAGGTGTCGTAGCCTTGGAGGATGTAGCCGCCTCCGTTGCCTGAGAGGTCGATGACGAGCTTGGTCTTGCCTGCAGCCTTTGCGTGGCGGAGGAATTTCTCAAGAACGGCTTGGAATTCGGCGGGCGTACTGGGCTCGAACGATAACATGCTCAGGACGGCGACTTCGGAGTTCTTGTCTGAGTCGAGGAAGTAGCCGGAGATGACGTTGTCCGAGCTGATAACTTCGGGATCAGGATAGCCAGGCGCTGGAGTAGCGGTTGCTGTCGCTACTGGCGATGATGTTGCTGACGCTGCAGATTCCGTGCTGGATGGTCCGGTGCAGAACTTTTGGTACATGCTTCGTCCATCGGTCACTCCGGTGAGATCGGCTTTGATCTGTGCTGTGGTTCGGTAGGATCTGGTGGTTCCGTTGGCGAACTCAATCGTCGTTGTATTTCCAGGGTATATGTATCCGTAGCGGGCACTTCCTGAGAAGTAACCGTCGAAGTCGGGGGTGCTTGCTGCAAAGGGCTTCGAGAAGAAAAGTGAGTTGTAGAGTGCGTCAGGATCGTTCAGACTTCCTAGTTGCGACCAATACTCGAGGTATTTCACCGCGTCTTCTCCATTGATTGATTTAACTGGAGATGGATCAAGTCCGCTCTCTACCTTTCCGACAATATCGGCTAATGAAGTTAGTGCCATTATCTCCGGGGGTTCTACTGACTTAGTAGGAACAAGCTTACTGTGCACATAGACCTGAGGAGTCTCCTTGCCATCTAAACTGACGGAAACCAGACCAACGTTACGGTGGAACGTCAGCACCTTGGTGAGAAGGTCCGGGAAGAAACGGAAGTGTCCGTCATGGGCGAGATTGAACGCCTTGAAGAGATCCGCTTGGAACTCATATTCACCGGCATATTTGTCAGACTTGATGTTGTCGTACACTTTGTTCAGTTCAGCCCAGATATCCACTGCCGGTTCGAGATAAGCGGAGGGTGGATCCTTGATGTATGAAGTATCTGATGCTCAATGTCAATGATCGTTGGCTACAAACCACAGATTATGGGATGGCTAAAGTCAACCTACCAGACTGCCACTCCACGTAAGGGAAAATCGACTCCATCAACCGGAGAGCCTCCGCCTTTCCCAAAGGAACTGACTTCAAGCAGGCCAGAGCAAGCTCACCATCCACGACCGGGGTAGCTACAACATTATGCACGTCAGTATAAAGGCCCCTGCAGCCAGAAACAACGTAGAATCCACACGAAACCGACCTGATGGTGAAGCCGCTAAAGTCCTAGATGCCCTACTGCTAATCTGTGCACATGCACTTCCGGTCCCATTTGTGGCAATTTGCCTCTTAAAATCTCCTGCTACTGCTCCTGCGGCCAGGGAGCCAACAAGAATAAGGCTCTGTAGCTGCATATTGAGATCCAAGGAGGCAACGACTGGACACACACCTACATGTCTCTAACCCTGTCGCAAGGATGGACAATATTCGTCTTATTTATGCTCATTTACTGCGCGGGGAACACCCCGGTGGCCCGTCGGGCGTCCGTGGGAGCTAAGACAGTAATTAAACTAGTTGCTGATAAGCCCTGCTCGTGGCCCCATTTTGATCACCTATCTCCACTTTACCAATGCACCGTCGGGGTAGACTCCGGTGAAGCTTTTCTTGGAAGGTGATTTGCATTGAGTCATGATAATGGAAGTCCACTTGTTCTCTAACCCCTGGTTTTAGTGCTGAGATATATTGAGATAGAGTGAACGGCTCTTCTGTCGGGGAAGCCTGGGGTATGTTAGGGTATAAACTCAATGGTTATATTGATCACCTTCCCGCTATATGACAGGGACTAATCCGCATCCAGCGCTAGTCAAGTAGCCCGTTATCTCCACAGTTGGATTACTCCGTACTATCCGACGCCTTATCTGAGTAAGACTCTACGTATTATCAACAGTTTCCAAGGTATCTTTGACTATAAATATATGGAAGAGATAGCAGTTGATATGTATCCCCTGGGCCTGCCACGGATATATCTTAAATGTAGATACTGTCTCGCGATTTGCACTCTTGATATGCATGCAAGAATAGCTCATAGGGTGTAGAGGCATCGTTGAAAGTTGTATTAGGAAGATGTGCTGGGGACGGGCCACTGTCGGGAATTAGAAATTAGAAATTACGACTACAAGTTCAATTGTCGGGTCTACTAGACTACAACAAGAGCTGAGTCGGCATTTGATTTCATCTTTCTACTTTTCCCTCTCTCGGCAAAACCCGATCAGTGCAGTGGATGATGATCAGTCATGCCAATTTTGGCGGTGAACCAAGTCAGTAACTTCATGCATGACGGGAGTTGCCTGAGCTCACACGAGCCAAAAGATGCACGCAGCCGCTATTGAAGCGGTCTGCTACCGACTAGCACCTTTCTTGCATAGCCCCTTGCTTATGATCAGCACGACATTGTGTTGGAGCTTCTGGAGCATGTAGAATGGAGGAGCTACCAGCCCTACTGGCTTATCCTGTGCTTCTTTTACTTCAGAACTTAATCAACTCCGCAGGTATAATGAACAATATCCAGAGTAACATGGTAGTACTCCAATAGCTCACACTAAACCCATTTCCAGGCACAGTGCTCTTTGGGTCTAATGAAGATAACGTGCTTTTTTATGAAATCTATGGACACATCATAATAATATTTTGAAGATCTCATACGGTGAGGGCTTGATTCTTAGTTACAACATCTCACGATCTGCACAGCACGTGTACTATGCAAATCTGGAGGCCGTGATACGCGGCTTGCTGGTCACAAACCTCTCTACATTTTATACCGCTTCAAAAGATTCCGACACATCATATGCAAGTCAGTGAGGCATTTTCTAGCTGCTTGAGTGTATATGAGTGTCAAGCGGTACTCTGTATTAGGTCCTTGGATCAATACCCTGAATAGTTATCTATATAATTGTCTACCATGATCTCTTGACTGGTAATCTCAATCAGCAACTCATTCTCAACTTCGATCCAATCATAAAATCCTTCCGCTAGATGGAGTTTCTTGGTCACGAACTGAAGCTTGGCAAAAAAGCTGTTATATCTACTGCAGATATGAATCTCTCAATTCCAGCTACCCTATGCTATTATATTTGACTATGCCTTCCCACTCTTTATAATGGGGCCTCATCTCGCTGCTTCCAGCCGCAAGTGGTAGGTATGAATACTTGTACTAGGCATTGCTACCTAGAAAGCATGTGTTGACTCGATAACATCAGCGATAAGAAAATTAGTCTCAGATACTGTAAATACACGTTGGTCGACTCCATTTTATGCCTTTCTATAGCCATCTCAACTTGATATAGTGGTATGGAAAGACTAGGCGACTACCCTAACAGCCGGGCCTGTTCATCAGATATTATGCAATTACCAGGCTTTGAATATGGTTACAAACTGGTATCTGCTAAGTGATGATAATTTCGATTTTCTGTATAGAGTAGATAGGCTAATTGTAAGCCGATAATAAAGATATTCCCTCGAGAACCCCTTGATGGCCTGCAACCTTAACATTATAGTTGGAAATGATCCATGCAAGCCTGGATCCAGTAATTTCAAGTCAAAGTAGGACCAGGGCTGTCGGGGTCAGCAGCAGCAAACGCCTCCGCACGGTTCGCAGTAGGTGGATATATCACCACGCGATTGATGTTTTTCTTGATCGGTTTAGCCACGGATGCTTTGAACCTGACCGTGCGATCCCAACCCTCAGTGACAACTGCCCCCCATGGGCCCAAATCAAGGCACGTTCCATAAGTAGGTTGAGAATACGGCTTAGTCGCAACTTTCAGCAGATCCGCAGCAGCATTGTGCCCGGCAAAACGGCCAAGAGACGTGGCATGCTGACAGGACATCATTGCATAGTGGCCGTCGCCATCTGTTTCGGCCAAGGCTGCATCGCCTGCCACGAAGATATCCTTCGCGGATGCGACACGCAGATCTGCATCGACGTGGAGACGGCCGCATTTGTCTTTCAGGCCTGGTATCTGCTGGGTCAATGGGGTTGCTTCTAGGCCAGCCGTCCAGAGAACCGTGAGGGACTCGATGCGCTCGCCACTGGTAGTCACCACGCCTTTGTCGTCCACTGACTTAACTGCTGCTCCAAGCTTTGTTTCCACTCCTTGCTCTGCGAGGGCTTGGACGATGACTGGTCGTGGGTTGGCCCCCAGTTCGGGGCCTATTTCAGTAGCCTGTTCGACAATGACGACGCGCACTTCCACATCCTGACCGAGAATCGAACGTAAGCGATTGGGAAGCTCGGCTGCGATCTCGATACCCGTGAAACCGCCGCCTCCAACGACAACCGTATTGCGAGCGGAGCTAGGAGGAAGGGATGCTAGACTCTGCAAATGAGCCTCAAACTCTGCCGCCTCCCCAAGTTGGTCGATGCTGAATGAGTGCTCACGAAGCCCGGGGATATTTGGACGTCTCAAGCGGCTGCCAGCTGCCAGGATGAGCCGGTCATAGGAGAGAGCCGAGCACGCTTCAGCCTGGTCCACAACCTTCACCAGGCGTTCCGGGACGCAAATGGTCTCAACTGTGCCTTTGACAAACTGGATGTCTGCAACACGGAAGAGATCATCAAGTGCAGCACTCATGTTTTTCGCGCCTGATTCATACAAGCGAGGACGCATAACTAGTCTTGGCTCTGGTGAAACGACAGTGACTTCAATGCCGGCAGCTTTCCCTCCGTGTCGGTCAATCAACCGCATGGCAGCAAGGGCACTCCACATTCCAGCAAAACCGGTCCCGACAACAACTATCCTCTGCATCTTGAACTCTTGGTGGACTTGACCGAAACTTTGGTAAAGGGATAACAGGTGTTCAAGGTATTAAGATATAGCACGCTTCGAGGCTCTATGAGCGTTTGACAATGGGAGTGAATTTTGACCATGGCCATCGAGGTCCTTATATAGGACTGCCGAAGCCACGGTCCGATGGAGACACTGAGTAGGAACGGAATGTTCGGCATCTCGCTATGTTGACAGACCTTTCCGCATAGGCTATTAAAGGACATTGGTTTGCCGTAGGGTTTCGGACCCATAGCCTATCGGAAACCCGAGTGGAGTCACGGTACGGATATGCGGGCCGCATGTAAATGCGAGATTATGTGCTATTATACTGACTAACAGGCCCTTTTAATTATCCCTGACAGCATGCCTTCATAATAGTTGAATTTATTTTAGGTCTAGATAGGGGTCATATAGAGCAGACTACTTCAGATGATTCATAAGAGGTTTACCATTCAATAAACGTGACTGTGGCCCGGAGGTGCACAAATAGAAATTAATAGCTTTTACACATAATAGGTGGACTTATTCAAGCCTTGCCATACTATAAAATTGAAACAGAGACAATAAGAACCAAGGTTATTAAGCTTTTGGGAATGAAGCAGTTATGAGCTCAACAGCGTGGCGCCCTCCACATTCAAACCGTGAGAACCAACTTTCCACGGCCAGAATACCGCCCATTAGCATGATCGTACGCCTCTCGTGCTTTTGATACGGGATAAGTCCTCACAACGAAAGACTGCACCGCACCCATGTCCACAAGTTTAGCGAGATAATGCAAGGCCTGGCTACTACCTTTGACAATGAAGAACAAAGCCCGAACACTGTCCTTCCGGATACCACGTTTCTCATGCTCTTCGACAAAGTTAAAACTCGCGGAATCCACAGACACCAGTACCCCTGTACCTTTCACATAATCCCAACATTTGGCCAATACCTCTCCCCCAACCACATCGATAATAACATCGAATGCCCCTCGGTAGTTTTCCAGCCTACTATACTCAATCGTTTCATGAGCGCCAAGGCCTCGAAGGAACTCTTCATTACGAGCATTTGAACTCGTGGCGGCCACGATATGTACTCCCGCAGCGGACGCTAGCTGAACAAGATAGATACCCACTGCTCCAGCGGCACCGGTAATTAGTACCCGATGGTCTTTCTGACTGGATGACCCGGCCATGTTCTTGATAGCCTCCTCTACAGAAGGGACAGGAATGCCGCCATGGTCAAACAAAGCCTCATACGCCGTCTGTGCGCTAAGAGGCAACGCCGCGGCCTGGTCGAAGGTCAATGATTTCGGTTTTAGCGCAAGTTCATCCTCGTTGAGAAGGGCGTATTCTGCCCATACGCCTGCGCGGTCTGCAGCCGCCATACCGAAAACCTCGTCCCCCGGCTGGAATTTGCAGTCCTTTGAGAAGACTTCCGTAACGATACCTGAGATATCGTTTCCGATTATTGCATATTCATGAGAGTAGGTTTCAGGCCACGTCAGCATATCGCGAATTGCTGTTGTGGCTTTGACGCGAACTAGGATCTCTCCGGGTTTTGATAGCTTGGGTATGGGGACATTGTGATCGAGGTGCAAAGCTGATGATGGAGCTGGATTTGAGGGTGAGTAAGGGGTAGATGCTGGAGGAGCTGGATGGACCCTAATAGCTTGCATGGTGGGGAATGAAGTTCGGATTGCTGGTATTTGTAACGTGCTCAGAAGTGAGTCTTAGTGAGATTATACAGATTTTATAAATCCGTTTCTTCTTAGTTATATAGTGAGGCTTTATAAAGGTAGAAGCGGGGGTATCCGACATAGGCTATTGATAGGCAATGCAGAGAGAGATATTACTAAGCATGGATAATAACCCAGCTATCAATATAAACCTAATTCCTGGCCAACAAATTCTAAGAATAATGGAGACCTAGATATCTACCTCATGCTCGTGACCAGCTGTAGAGAAAAGGGAAACTTTGGTTACGGACCTAGAAGCTGTTAGCAGGAATATTGGACATGAAGAATATACTAGTAGCATGCCATCTTGGGCATTCTCTAAAATATCCTCCCCAATATTAGATCTTGTCGCTATCCATACTGTGATAACCTAATGATCTGTAGGGCCACATATACGGCTCTTAGCGTTCCTAGTCCAGTAGTTCCACCGTACACCATATACTGCCTGCATCGTGAGCGAGGGAACGTTGACGTTTGTTCCCGTCTTGTAATGTCTATTGAAGGGAACAGACTTGACAGTCGTAAGGAACTGATTCCGATGACTTTTGGGTATCTGAAGGTGTAGGGAGAGGTTTGGCCAAGAGCAGCGAGGGGTTTCTCGCAGGTATAGAAGATTGCGGAAAATTTTGCTAAGAATTGGGTTTCAGGGTAGCGAACCCTGCTTCGAAGAAACTTGATGCACCAAGAAACGAGACCAGCGCTATTTCTTCCGCTGGCCTGTCGAAGACCTCTTGCCAGGAAAGAAGCTAAGTCGCTTATCATACTAAAATATCCTCTGCGCACGTGAGTATCCTTTCATCAAAACGAGGTATTTTATAATAATACTATGGGTCGTCAGACACTGCATTGGTAGTGCCACAGTACCTCATTCCACTGTGAGCTATTATAGTCAAGACAACAATAGAGACAGTGATAGATACCGGCCAAAGACCATAGATTAACGGTTTTAAAAGAAAACGTGACAACTTGTACTCCGTAACAAAGGGATTCAAATATTAGTTCCATTCGGTTATGTGAGGGAAGGGAAAAGCGCTTGCTCATTGGTTTGCTTACAGTATCCATGGTAGCGGCTGGTAGGGCATAAATCAGCTATCATCATTCTGCATAGTTTCCATTGACGCGCGTTTCTCCACTCAGGTCCGACGCACTTTTACCTCGGTATGTTTACGTGCCACTGTAGAAAAATCTCCGCAAAGCTGATTCCGATTTGGCGAATGCACGTACCAGAATGGCTTTATCACGACCACACTGAAATACTAACCGTAAGGAAACAAGAATTCTGATCCAAATGCTTGGAGTGCGCTTGGAGTTGACCCTTAGAAGTTTAACCCCACAAACTGGGCACCGACCACATCTTACCCTATTGGGAAACTCCACGCGACAAGAAGCGATTCGGAATGCAAAAGCTTGGTAGCAGACGAGGCAAGAAAAACATTAGTGGAGGATGATGCCTCCGTTGGGCTCCTTCAAATAGACCACTATTGCTCGTCGTGTGGGAGCCGTAGTTGACTCCCAGTACAGCTCCCACGAGAACTACAAAGCAGATTCATCATGCAATTTACCGCCAATATACCACCAAAGTTGGTGCTGAAAGGCACCCCAAGAGAGGTACGTTTCTACAAATCCTGTTCCTCTATCCTGATGCATCCCCTACTTATCTAAATCACCTGGGCAGATTGGTCTCAAACATGGTCGTCGTCTCCAGAACCAGATCAAGGACCAACTGGAGATCTATCGAGAAATGTTCGATTATACCTCCAAGATGCAATGGCCCGCGGTGCGCATGCTGGCTGAAGAATTTCGCTCGACATTGGAACAAAGCATGCCTGATATCTATGTGGAAATGCAGGGCATCGCGGAAGGCGCGGGGGTGGACCTGCTTGATATCGTAGCGTTAAATTGCCGAAGTGAGATTTCTTTAGGGAAATTTTCGGACGGATGTACCACGCTTTCATGGAAGAAGAGTGACCATGTCAGGGTCTTGTCGCAGAATTGGGACTGGACCACGAGCGTAGGGAAAAACATGGCGATGGTACGCATTGAGGGGCACGGGAAGCCGGTAATCCACATGGTGACGGAGGTGAGTTGCAGTGGCCCTAATCTGAACCTTGATGCAGAGGTACTTATTGTAAGGTCTAGGCGGGGCTGGTTGGTAAGATCGGGTTCAACAGCGCCGGTGTCGGCGTCGGTCTAAATGCCATCAAAGCGCCTGTTTGTGACAGTTCAAAAGTCCCCATCCACGTGGCTCTCCGCCTGTGCCTGGAAAGTGTCTCCGTGGATGCTGCCCTAGAGCGACTGACCTCACTTGGGGGTGCGGCTTCAAGCCAATACATTATCCTAGCCGAGAGCTCGAAATCACTTGGACTGGAGCTGTCCCCACTCGGCGATGTTTATATCCAGGAGGACCGGAACGGAATGATTATGCACACAAATCATTTTATCGCAAACAGTTGCGTACAGCAACCACCATGGCTCCCAGGCTCTCCGGTACGACTACAGCGGTGCCAAGACCTTTGTGACAACCTTGTTCAGGCCGGAGTGGCTGGAAAGCAGGTCACCCCGACACTTCTAAGAGAAAAGATATTCTCGGACAGATACAATGCTCCCGAGGCCATCTGCTGCTCTGAGGATCCATTAGCGCATCCAACACAAAAATGTTCAACGTTGTTCAACATCGTGATGAATCTGGAACGGGATAACCTGGGGGCCGAGGTTATTTTCGGGCGTCCTGGGTATGGGGAGGCGAGTGCCGTAGTCAGACTACCCTGGGGACCGGAGGACGGGCATTATTGAAGGCCTTCTGCTTTGTTCGGCTTCTCCGGTCCGAAACAAGTACCCGGAGTGCCGGGAGTTGAAAGCCTTGAAGAAGCATGTCATATGTCGGATACTAGTATTACCTATGTCATCTCCGTCGCTGACGGAATATAAAGAAGTCCTTATGAAGATCAAGTAGAACAACAGAGTAGGGACATCGCGGTCGTCTTTCGTAGACCTTTACCAACTCCCAGAACACTATACGCAGGGGCCATTTCTCTACTGGCGGGACGCCTGGTTTATATGTTTATTCCGACTTTCTTCCGCCTCTACTCTCTGAGAACCCTTTGTAGACATGCTGCAATTGATGTTAGAGGTAGCTATCCCAAGGAAAAAGGACCAAGAGAGGCCCAGGACCTCAGCAAAACGAAGCTGCGACTGTGGCCTGACTTGTAGGGTTCATCGTTATGCCCATGCATATAAGCGAACAGTGCTTCGCCCCCCTGATGGATCTAATTCTTGACGATCACATATATATCAGCCATGCATCCAAATTGAGGGTGTCGAGTGAATGTCCTGTAACCTCAACATTACCACCCCCGATACATGTCTTGCGAACGGGTTATGTTTGTTCTGCCCTGAGAGCATTTACCCGAGAAGCCATTGGCGAGTGTTCTGTACCAGATCAGAACTGGAACAGTCTGAATTGTTTGAACAACACGATGTGTGATGATGTGGTACGTCTCCACCACTTTCGCGGACCCCGTTTTCATGTGGTACCTTCTATACTAAACGTCGATCTGGCTACAGCGTGGAGGACAATCCAATTGGACGGCCCGTGTTTCCAAATGTGATGACGGGACATATTGCTGCAACCCAGATGAGAAGGCTGTGCAAGGAATAACTTTTCTCTCCAACCAACACTTGTACCCTTTGAAAATACTCCAGACAGTAGGACCATGCCCCTTGAATCGACGTCTACAAAGGTGGCTATTGGAGTGGGCGTTGGGGTTCCAATGGCCGCTCTGTCGGTTGCCACGCTCGTGGTAGGCTACTACCGGTGAGGGAAAAGGAAGGCACAAGTGTCCTTCCAACATCATGCACCCGCGCTATTACCCATAAATAGGGCTACAAAGCCAATGCCAGTCTATGAGATGTCTGCGACTCTTCTGCGGCCCGCACAACTCTCCACTTGAGGGGATGCCAATCGAGGACAACCTCCTTTTTTGGATGTTGTAATGTCTCTCCAGGTTCTTTTGCAAGGGTCGCATAATCGGGCTGTTCCTCTCTCCAGGGTCAGTACATCTAATGTGGCGTCCGTGTGCTCGAATGGTAGGCAGTTGGTGAGAAAATCTTTGTATAGAGGTTCTTTGGTAACGATATCCATTCGCTAGCCTGGCAGTTCCTCTCAGAGGATACCGATTTTGGAGCTGGAAAGACCCGGCTACTCACCAGCTGGAAGGGGGAAAGTAGCGATTCTTTTAATGACTAAGATAGTCCAAGCAGCTAATCTGCGTAATTAGTAGTTGCTAATCGCATGAACGATATGCTAAGGGAAAGAGGATACCATGGTCGAAGAGATCGGATATGTCAGTGCAGGTTTAAAGAGCAGTCTAGCGTTCATACAACATGGATTCTCAGTGGGGAGTGGCCCATATTGTTTCTAATTAAACAATATTTTGCCTCGGAGTACACCAATTGCATCAATTTAAACCTCAACCTTATCTCCAGCAGTCATGAATGCTTGAGGGCTGGCAGAACAAGCCCATACCGGATGGAGTTCCCGACATGATAACAGACCCAGCACAGATTGTTGTACCTATACCAGTATGCGCGATGATTTGCTTCACAATCGAAATCCTGTCGGAGGCTGAAGTGGTTTGTCTGACGGAGCCGTTCACTCTAGCCTTGAGAACGATTTGTTGTGGGTCGGGAATCAGCTGAGAGTACACAATGCAAGGCCCAATGGGCCCAAACTTGTCAAAAGTCTTTGCGGAACAGTACTGACCCCCTGAGGTATCAGACAGTTGGAAGTTTTGCGACAATAAATTGTTAGCATACGCGTAGCCCAGAACAAAGTCCAAAGCTTTATTTTCCGATATATTCAGTGCGTCACGTCCAATAACGATGCCTAGTTCTTCCTCGCAGTCGAGTATCGACTGAGCCTTTGGGTGAACAGGAGCCTCATCATTAGGACCTGCAAGAACATTGGATGGGTTGGTAAACAGAAGCTGTGGACCGCCGGTAGATCATTCAAGTAATGGTGTAGTAAAATTGGGCAACAGAAGCCGTAGCCGTAGCGATTATATGAAAGGATTCATCTCAATTATTAAGCTTCAATAACCTTGTTCCTTTGATGAATTACACTGTTTATACATATCTACACGGAGTATCATACAAGGGGAAGGCTTAGAGGAATATTAAGATACAACTAGTAATGCTCACCAAGATCAAGCTCCGATAAAGGTGGTAAAAGCTAACTTTAAATCAGGCTTTTTATGCTCATATCTATCTACTATAGTTAGTCTTATTCGTAACATTTCATTGGTGTGAGAGAAAAGATAAATAAGAATGAACAGAAGGAGAACACCGAGAGAGACCATCTAGGCAATAGTGTAGCCGCCATCCACGCGGAGATCAGCGCCAGTGACATATTTGGAAGCGTCGCTGAGCAAGAAAGTCACTGGTCCCATGAGATCTTCTGGGAGTCCCATCTTTCCCGTTGGAATTAATGATGTCCATTTAGCCTCCAAGTCTGGATTTTCGTTCAGGATCTTTCGTGTTCTAATGCTATATTAGCATTGATCAAACCGCCGTTTCGTTGTTCTCGGGACTCACAGCGCAGTCATTATGTATCCTGGACTGATACAGTTCACTCGGATGTTGTAGGGGGCCCATTCCACGGCTAGAGAGGCAGCCAGCTGGCGGACAGCCGCTTTGGCTGCATTATAGGGGGCTTGGGGCTGAGGAACGTTGACAACCGTGCCAGACATACTACCAATCATGACAATACTTCCGGGGGCCTTGCGCCCTATCAGATGTTTAGCCACACCGACAGCAAATAGATAGGTTCCATCAACGTTAACCCCCCAGCACTTCTGCATTCTATCATAGGGGTAATCAATAGCAGCGAAATTCTCGGTAAAGCCAGCGGAGGTGACCAAGTTATCGATTTTGCCATGCTGCTCCAGCACTTCATCGATAGCTCGATTGACCGACTCAGGCTTGGATACATCGGCAAAGTGGGCAGTAATGGTAGGGAGTCTAGGAGGTGTTATGTCCTGATTTATAGCCGTAAATGGAAAATATAACCCACACTTTCGATCCTGGATTCTCCCGACTAAATTGTTGCAGTAACTTTCTCGCCTGGTACTCCCCTTCTGTCCCTGTGCCGAGATTAGCATCTTTTCCTTATACAGAGAGTTTTTATTCTTTGGCTTACTTTTCAGATCAACAATGGCTACATTTGATCCAGAAGCCACCAGGGCCTGGGTCATCACTAAACCGAGACCCTGAGCACCACCCGTAACTACGGTCACAGTGTTCTCGAGGGAAAATTGTGCTAGGGTACGTTTGTGCTGTATTCCCTTAAAGCTTTGTGAGTAAACAGTTTGATTCATATCACTGTGGCCTAACTAGACATTTTCTTCTATACATACATGGATCCCTGTTTGTTCTGGGCACGTGGGCTCCAAGTCGGGCTCATTTATATGGGGAGCCATTCTGTGATTGAGACAAGAGGAATGTAAGGAACTAGACTTGAAGATCAAGAATTGACGAAAGAACTGCTGGAGAAAAATGCCGTGAACCCAAGTCAGATCACTGAGAGAAGCTCTTTATTTTAAGAGTTATTGAAGGTGGAGGGGCGAGTAAAGTGCTGTGCAAAAGTAGTGTCTCCATCTTGCCCTAACAAATATCTCCTTCTCAACGCCTTAATAGCTAGCCTCTAACCTGTAAATGGTATTACTGGGATCGTACACCAGCACATCCAGTACAGAGTAAGGCGTGGATCCATCTCCGTCTTACCTTTGTCATGCCCCATAACCCTTGCATTGCCATTTCTACACTGCCACTCTACAGGCCATAGATCGGGGTCTGTGGGTATTGGTACCATTAAAATGATATAGAACACGTTGCCGCATATGTAATTATGTGGTTTACGATCACATACGCTCTCCTTCTCTGTTGTCCTGCGTTGCCAACCGGCCATATTTCTTGTCTCTGTAAGTCGGGCGGTTCCATAGACTCCACATTTATGAATCAGCTGTATGAACCTTTTACTCTGATATGACCATGGAATACAACATAGCGGATTCAGGGCAGTGGGAATAAGAGGGCGGTCAAATACACCGCGGAGAAATAGTTATTGGAGTGGATAGATAGGAGGTAATCCTGGGATCTGGGATGGAGCCCTCTGGCTGTCCGGACCCGCCAATCCCCTCAGCTGGCTGGCAGCCTTCGCCATTTCCTCCGTGATTTCTCGACTTCTCATTCCCAGTCTCCACTTTATGCCGACACACTCTCGACGGCGGTACATCCTAACTACCCTAGTATTGGCTCGATTTATGCGCTTGCGAACACTATATTCTTGTGAGAAAGTCTATTTGCCGAGGCGTCTCTACATCATCTCGGCATGTACGCCGTTTTCCCCCATGTGTCTCGGATGAATACTATTTTTGGTGTTAGGGCTCAGGTCACCAAAGATAACTAGAAAAAAGTGTTACAAAGCAATCTAGGCATTATTAAGCTCAGTATTGCTGAATACAACGACAAGAAACTTTCGCTAGGAGGGCATGAAGATCCTAGACAAATCATCAAGGGGTTGTTTTGGCTTTTGCAGGGTGGACGTCAGTTTGCCTGGCATGCCCAGTTGAATAGGCCATAGCATTATATATAGCGCTACTAGGTGAGGAAGCTTTGAAGATGAAAAATAACATGGCTGCATGGGGCTACTGCATAGGCATTATGAGCATACCGCGCACGCATCTAATACGCTATTACCAACTCATGAACGACACAGGGAGATTTTCTGGCTAGGACTGAGCACCATTCCTCTTCATGCATAATTCTGTTCATAGTAGATGCAATATGACGTATCTTATATATCCTTATATTCTTGTCATGCTGACTGGCTCGTATTGCAGTAGGGCTATTAGAAACGGGTCTTGGGTAGTGCATTCATGTCGCGCTGCACTCTCAGAGACAATAGCAACAATATCCTGCTTCTAAAGGGCAGCCTTTAGAGCTTCAAAAAATTGCTATATAAGGCCCAACCCAGTATTGAATCACCAGAACAACTACCTTGAATTAGGAACTCATTATTAAAACCACGGTGATTGGGCATACTCTCCATTGTCACAAACTGTCTTAGCCACAAATATCTCAACTGCAGCAACAGACAGGACAAATCCAGTGCTGCCGTACACGAAATAGCTCCTGCTCCTCCTGCGAGTTGGAGTGTTAGAATAGGACGCCACCACCGGGTCAAACTGATCCACAAGGCAAAAA